CAATTCAGTGTATAAATAATTGACTAACAATTACTATGAAAAACGTCATTTGACTTAATGACAAAATGTTGCAGATTAGCAAACAATCAGACTAACAATAAAGAGAAATAAAAAAAAAAAGATTCGTCTTTCGTAATAATTGTCTGAAGGTCACAAAATACCATTTATATACATGTACATATGCTTATTATATTCATCAACACAACCTTAGTAGTACTTAGGTGTTTTATTTTTCAATAAGTTTAAGCAAAATATATGGCTGAGCAGAGTTAAATGAATGTCACTCACATGTCATTTAAATTTCGATGACACAGTTTTGAAAGAGAACTCAAAGAAAAGTTTACTACGTGTACAATGATCAACTCAAAACACAGTATTGAGTTAATCATTGGAATATGTAGTAGACTCAGTTTTATTATATCTATATATGCCTCACATATTACTTGTTTTGATGTTAAGAATTTTTTATATTATCGGCTAAACTATGTCGATGAAGATGGCTTCAGCTTTTGCAGCGTCAACTTTTTTAAAGAGTATACATATTACGCTTATGATGTTTGATTAAGGAATAACTGTCTTATTTTTCGAATTCATGAAGTTATCAATGGATTGGCTTGTGTGATAATTTGCATAAACGCCGAAGGCGTTTATGCATAAAATTATCACACAAGCCAATCCATTGATCATCTTCATGAATTCGAAAAATCTGACAGTTATTCCTTATATTTCCATGCTTTGATTCCGCCAATCCACGGGCTCCAAGCCTGCTTCTCTCTAGGTCTTGTCCCGCCCTGCACGTGTTTTTTTTTTGGAACCGCGCCAAAACATTCATGAGGAAATCAATTACATTTACAATTGGTAATTTTATCTCGGACAAAGACATTGGAAATGTAAATATTTATGTTTAACCAATTTATCAGATCCTCCAGAGCTACTCGGGGTACGATCAGATTTTTTAACGAGCAAGCTATTGACGAATAAGTTATGACATTGTTAACTATATCAATAGGTCGTAGTTTGGCCGACGTTCTTAACCAATAGAATGATTTGTCTACTTGATTAATAAAAAGTCATGTGGGATGTGACAGGTAAACGGGGATGCTTATTCCTCTTAAACACCTGATCCCACTTCTGGAATTTTTGGAAGTCGATCATGTTCCATGTTCTGTTCATAGAGTGATTTTGTTTGTAGATTTTTTCAGATTGATCAATGTTTGTTATCATCACCTTTTCCAAGCTTACAGAATTTATTTTTATCATTCTTGTATGCTCATTTTTGAAGTTTGATTTAAACAATTCTTTGCGTTTGCATACCACTTCTTTTTCAAACAAAAACATTAATAACCTTAAAGGGTCATTGGGGTCAGTTGGTCGATCCTTATGAAACCAATCATTAAGAAAAGCTACAAGTTTCAGAACTTTTTTCTAACCCTTCCAATTTTCGTCAATAAAATATACTCGATTCAATTCATTCTGTAAGTAGATGAATGCAAAATTAAATCGAAATGGAAATTTAATGAGAGAGTGGGTAAATTGCGTTTGTTTCAATTATATCTATCTTCCTCTTATCAAAAAAACTGTATCTGGGTGTTCATGAATCTATAAGTTTAAAAACTGGTGTCATATTTTTTTTTACTTCTTGTTAATGAAATATGTTCAATTCAATTTATTCTTTAGGTAGTTGAATACAAAATCGAAATGGATATCCGGTGAGGGAACTTATAAATAGCCTTAGCTTCACTGATATCCATCTTTCCTTATCAAAACAACTGTATCTTATCAGAAGTGTGTATGTTTTCTTGAACAGATCATGCCAAAACAACACCATTCTGTCAAAATCGACAATACTTGCTGAAAAGGCAAATATTTGTGTCAAATAAAAGTGTCAAATGAAAACTTTTAGATTCAAGTTGAAGCTCGATTCCGTTTATCTAAGATGTGTTCTACTCATCCTCAGAATGAATTGCCAAGAAAATGAACTGTAATCATGCTCAAAATCCAGTAAATCAAGAAAAATATATGAGCAGGACAAACAGGGACCTCTAAAAACATCAGAGATGTAATATCAGAGGACTTAAAGGAGTAAGTATCCCCTCTTTCATAGTAACCCTTGCTTTGAGCCCCTTGTAAGGATCGAGAGAATGGAGAAATCTGTTGCCAATTCAGTACGAAAATAATAGTTTACCATATTTTTTTAATATGAGAAATATTATACACTTATCCACTGGCTGTGAATGGGATAGCTCTTTTATCAAACCTGCGACAGAGAACTATTCCCCGAGGGCTTGCCCGAGGTGTATAGTTTCTGTCAAGGGTTTGATAAAAGAGCTATCCCACTCACACCCAGTGGATAAGCGTTTTATTATACTGATGTATAATATAATTTCTGAGGTTTGAATTTTTTAGGAGTAAGATAATACTGCAAGAATAATCTGAAAACCTGATGACGTCACAATGCTACTGAAGTCATTATGACATCATCAGTCGATAGATTTATTGCTGGAAATCAAAACTGGAGGCAAAAATTGCATGAAAATTTTCAGAGGGTGGATAGCAAAAACTATACCCCGGGGTATAGCTTTGCTCTGCGTGGAGTATAAACGATAGTTATTTTACCTTCTGAACTTTATATAGGAAACATTTTAACAGAAGTATAATAATGGTCAATATTCGACCAATTCGACGGATTATGTGTATGCAAACAGGACATCGTATGATATGATAACTAAATGTCGTCTTTTAAGGAGATTGTGGTACTTCCCTTGAATCATGAGTTTATTTGTCTGTAGCCTGTCTCTTTTTAAAAATTGTTATGTAAAAATTGTCTCGCATATCGCAATATCTGGAAAACAAACTTGATACGCCGGTGATTATGGTTTATTGTTGCATAGATAATGGTAATTGGCGATAGAAATTAAGTTAAAGGCATGAAATTTATCATACAATTAAGTTGTTAGTTTGTCATTAATGCATTTCAGAAGCAAAACATCCAAACACAAGAGAAATGTGTCAAACTTCGTGGGTTTTTTTTTATTTGAAATGGGATATATCGAACAAAGTATAAGCGAAAATGAATAATATTAATCAATAAAACTTCATCGATTTTTCTCGACATTCCTAAATTTATCTTGATTTCTGTCACTGTCCTGAGATCTTCCAGATTGGTAGAACCATCGTTTCTTTGGTCTATACGATTGCACTTGTAATTTCATGTCAAGTGTTTTCTCTTTTAAAAGCACAAAATTATGGGCCTACATGTAAGTACTTGAAATATTTGAATAAACGTGTTGCTTGTATCATATCTCAAACATTAACATGAACGCGTTTCACTTTGGAAAAAAAATGGAAATAGGTGGGTTTTATGGAATCAGCATTTTTTTTTTATTCAGTACTTAGAAACTTAGAACTGTTGCCTTCCCTTGTCTAACTAACATCGGTATTTTTCCATTCTCAATATTCATTAGGTGAATGAAGAGTAAATAAAATAGCAGGTCCAGTAAAAATGTAAATCAAACGCAGATAATACTAGGATTGTTTAAACATCCGCCGATATACTCTTTCATGAGTCAATTTGTTAATATTAAAAACACTTATCTATTCTATAACCCTCCGTTTAAAAACTTCCAAGAAAGACGTTTAGAATTTTCCGATCATTTAGTTTCTTGCTTATCTTTATAGATTTATATCGCTATTTCGAAAACTTCACTTCAAAAAATAGAAACACAAAAACCCCTTTCTTGACGTCATGTTGAGATTTTTATGACGTAAATGGAGAAAAGTAATTATCAATCATTTAGTTATTGGTCATCATGATTTTTGCCATCCAAGAAAATCTTCGTATAAAAAAAAACACATACAGTGTATATAAAACTTTGATTTACTTTAATTACAGTCATTCATTCATTGCATAATATTTTTTTATTCACTATATATAGTTCTAATTTTTATCATCGATTATTTTTCTTTTTTTTTTTTGTTAATAAAATAATTAATAGTCTTAATGATTTATTAACACTTTTGCTACCAGATTTATATATAATAGAATATTTCTAAAGTATTTTTACTTTAGTTTTAGAATATATATGTCAAAATTCCTTCTATTTCATAAGAGAGAAAGCATATAGTGTCATCACGTGATATTGCTTGATAGTTGTATAATAATAGCAGACTTGGCCTTTTTAAGGTTATGGAACTGATTTGCATTTACATTTTCTTCTTCGTGTCATTTTTTTCAATTTCCTGATTTGCTATAATTTGAATATATTTAAATAATTTTGCTTCTCTCATACTGGTTTGTTTAAAATGAATCTCCCGATATTTCGTCATCAGATAAATACTTGTGCCGTCTGCTCCGAGATAACAATCCCCTTGGATAGAATTGTTTGTTCAAGTAAACGTTGGCCCTCTGCCAAGTGATTAATTGTACTGACACAATAGCCCTGGGTTGTTTTATAAGTGATTGTGTGGTTGGCAGACGATCAATAAAGAATTGGGGTTTTTAAATAATGCCAAGCGGAATATGAAATGATAACCCAATAACAGAAAGAAAGGGCTTTGAGATATTTCCCACGAAAACTTCTCACAAACATTGCCCTTGTTGATCAAAGCCAGTTTTTCCATCATCTCGGTGTTATTAGAGAACCGCGATAAGTTAACTTAACGCTTGAGTAGGATTAATGACTCAGTTGCTAGGGGTAACTGTAAGCGCACGTTAATTACATCTGACAAAGAAGTACATGCTTGTCGTCTGCTAGTTTGGCGTACTTTAGAAATTCACAAGAGAATTAGGTTGAATATAGTAGTATAAAATACTTTGTTTACTCTGAGTATTTCAGTTGTCATTTTACATTATACAGAGTGAAACAACTGCGCTACAAAAATAAAGACTTTTTTATTAAAATATTTCCCGAACGGTAAATCTGAATAATAAAAAGTTCTTTGTGATTATTTCGACATTTGCTTGAAAACAGTTAATCTAATATGTTGGCTTGGTGCCAACTGCCAAGTTTTACAACGATGAGAGCCGTGCACGGCGAGAAAATTGACTGTTGTGCGCTCTCAAGCGTAGACGCCTTTGTGGACAGGAAACTGATTAGAATTTGCCCGAGGAATTCGAGCGTGGAGGGATATCCGTTGCCATTGGATACTTCGTTTTATAGGATTGGCAAAGAATATTCGTCAGCTGCGTTTCCTGCCTGAGGGCTTGTATTACGTGCGAACAGCTCAGACGATTCGATTCCTGAAATAAGTGGTGTTGTGGTAGAATCCATTATTTAGTGAGATAGTCGGGTCAGACATTTTTTATGTGACCGACGCCATTTGCAGAAATTTAAAAGGACTTATCGATTTTTTTATGTGGACTTAGAATTTTGTCACGGGATAGCGTACAAGTTGATAACTATAATTTATCGACTCTATTGTGATGGAAGTAGCGGGTTACGTCATATTTTAATACGGATTAAATATCTGTGAGAAAGGTAAGGAACACGTGCTCACGATATATCATCGTGTGGATATCATTGTTGTGTGACAATGTTGCGGTGATGTTGCTGTGCGGCTTAGGATGTTTATTGATTGTATCATTCAGGATGAGTCTCGTGTGAGTGAGGATGTTACTAGAATGTGTTATATCATGAATATTATAAGATGTTAAATGATTTGTTGCGTTAGGTCCGCATCGCGATGAATCTGTAAAACGTAAACAAACATTTCGGTGCGAGATAACGAGATTAAAGGGTGATATTTTTAATTTTGCGTACAAATTTTATGCAAATTGGGTATGATGTATTGTTCATAACAAAAATGCCGTATATAAAGATGAATATTTATTACATATAATATTCAGATATTCGAGCCATATCTTTTCTCGTAATTACTATGTTGTTTCGTGTCATGTTAATTTGTGGATTTTAGTGTCTGATTATACAAATGTTTAGAGTAAGTACATGTATTGTGTACTCTTATGGTACAGTATCATATTTATGGTTACGTCATATAGGGCCTGAATGGATCTGTATGCATGCAGATATCAGCAAGATTAGTGATTGCCATATCATTTGATTGAGTTTTAATGTTTTGTCTGGTAGCATTAACTTAGGTAAAAGTTTACAATATTTATTAAAGAACATATATTAATATCTTTGCACTATGCCCAAAATGCATACACCTGTGGTCTACTAGGCCTAAATACTAAAAAACATTGAGACATCCGAGGATTCGAGATATCGAGTGTAAAACACTTCTAAAAAGTATATGTGGTTGGGACTTCCACATCATTTCGACACAAGTTTTCGAGATATCAGAGTTTGAGATACATACCCAAGTTCAACTGATTTTAGCAGTCATGCATGGTTAATGGTTCAACATGGTAATTTAAGAAATATTGACTTCATAAGCAGGTCTGAGGGCAACATGCGTTTTGTCAGACCCAAGAACCAAACTGTTTGCCCGAGGCTGTTAGGCCGATGGCAGACAGTTTGGTTCAAGGGTTTACAAAACACATTTTGCCCGAGAAGACAGTAAATAAATGTTTCATTATACTTTTTAAGATTATTTTTTGACATACATGTATCTTGTGCTGTTTTCTGTGTTAACTGAGGTTATAAACTCGGGCAATTATGTCGGTGTTGAACACCAACAAATGCAAATGAGATTTAGTTCCACATATTGTGTGACTTAAGGGGTTCAACATCTCATTGACAGGTTCAAGTCATCTCACTGAGTGGTCAAACATTGATTTTTATGACTGCTAAGTAATACATTAGAAAGTATCTGAGGAGTTGACCCTTATGTTGTGGGTTCGAATCGCACATTGGGATGTGGAGACCTGTCCTTTGGATGAGACCGTATAAACCGAGGTCCCGATCGAGCCGCAGTAGGTGCTGGCAAGAATAAGATCCCTCCCTGCTCAATGGCCCTGAGTGCCGAGTATAAGACAAAATTTGCAGCTCTCCACTGGCAAGTTGTGACGTCTCCATATGAGTGAAAAGTTCTCAAGAGGGACGTTAAACAACATACAAACAAACAAAATAACACATTAGAATTGTGAGACTTTTTGTCGTATAGATTTGTATAGGAACAAATATTTAAAGGAATGACAAATAGTTATAGTCCTTCCTTGAGGTCAGTCCATAGATGTAGAGTTCACATAAAAGCATAGACATGTCCATTTCACAGAAAAGCATATTGACTGAGCACAAAGAGCAACATCAATATAATGCTTTTCTGTGAAGTTGATAAATCTATCTATTGACCTCATGAAAGGGCTACAATTACACAAAGATTTCTAGGGCTGGGCAATAATATCGATATTTCAATATATTGCGATACAAAGACAAAAAATATCGTATCGCAATACGATTTTGTTATATCGATATATTGGCAATATACTTAGATTAAGTAATTTTGTCATTAAATATAAAAATGGAATTATGAAAGTTTTTTGATAAGCCAAACAGTAAGAAAGAAGTTGTTTTGTGGGAACATTTCAGAGCATAACTTAAATGAAATCAACAAGATTTTTTTTAATGTTGGTTACTTATCATAGTTATGTACATTCTGCATGTAAATTAAAGTAAATATAGAAAGAAAATGTCATTTAAATTACATTGAAAATATTGCAATACATATCGCAATACAGTTAAAAATATCGCAATATTTCGCAATACGAAATCTCGGGCCATTATCCAGCCCTAAAGATTTCATGTGTTTAATTTTTTTTTCTCAATAATTCCAGAAAAAAATATTATAAGAAAATATTAATCTGTCCAAGTATTCACTGATTAATGACTTTAACTGGAAATAATTTTGACTGATTTGAGTAACAAATTGTGTTTTATTTAGCGGGCCCAGTGGAAGATCTGGCTGCTCTTTGGATCTTCAGGTGTCCCTTATGTGTAACAAAAATATGTTAATCATTTAGGAGAACTTTATAACATTGGAGGCATATTTAAAATAATACATTTATGATTATTTGATTGAGAAAATAATAATATTTTAATTTTGCATATAACTTGTTTATTTGTAGTCTAGGGCTGTCACAGGTAACCAAAATGACCAATTAATTAATTCGGGTCAGGTTCGGTTCTGTTTTTCCGGAATCCAGTTCAGTTCCCATGTTACAATATTGTCAATAGGAAGAGTAGGTTTTACCATAAAAATGGCATCTAAAACAAAAGGTTCATTAGTATATTACCATTGTAATGTGATTTGAATCATTTGGTTCAATTATTTTTCTAGTCAGGAAACTATACTTTAAACTAGTCATTGTGTTGCTGTTCTTAGATTAAGAAAAAAAATTAAAATTGTTGAATATAATTCAGATCATGAGTTTTTATTCTATTATATACCCAAACCAAAAAACCCGAAACAGAACCTAAAAAATGTAGAACCGACCTGACCCAAAAAATTATGGAACCAACTGACAGCCCTATTGAACTCATAAAATGACAAAAATGAAAAAAATGACAAAAGAAGCCCTAAACTACAAAAAGATAATTATCATTAATTAATTTTTAACTTTATAAGCTGACTGACTAAAAAGCCTTTTGCCCATCCCATATATCTGCATGGTTAATCCAGATATTTGTTCTTGATCATGACAAGAACAAACAGCAGATATGACAATTAATGACAAGTCCAGAGGATGCTTAATCATCCATGGCACCTGATCCCACCTCTGAATGGCTCTGATGTTTTAGAGGTCTGTGTTGCTCTGCTGATAATTTTTAGTTTCAATGGACTTTTGATTACTGTTTGTTTTCTCCCCATTTTTTGTATAGCCTTATTGCCCCAAGACTTGTGTATGATTTATAATTTGGTCTATTAAAATTCACATACAAAATACTTATTTATCTGCCCAGAAAATTCATCGTAGATTTTGGTTTTCTCTAATCCTAACTGCATGTAAATTTTTGATGGGCTTATAGTGCCCAGAATTACACAAAATCTAAAGCAGTTAATATTATAATTCTTCTAAAGCTGCAAGGCACATGACTGTGTCAGTTGAATTTTCCAAATCGGTATATCACTGTGTGCATATATTCATTGTTGGAGAAGAACGACTATTGTAAGATGAAGTATACCTTGCCATATGATATGGTATTCTTTTATTGCACAATGTTATTAGATGAAATATTAATTTGTGTATATGAATAAATAATAGTGTAAGAAAATGGTCTAACATTAAATTTTTTTTTACAATTAACATTCCTTGATCAATTAAACTATATACTAAATAAAATGCAGCATTTATTTACAGCTAGTGAAATAAAACATCTAGTACTTTATGCAATTCATAGACATGGGAAATGAAAATTTTATGATTAATACGATTAACCATTTAGGCCAAAATCAAAAGATTTTAGTGTATTAGTTGCATGAGGGTAGTAATTATTTTTAACATTTGTTGTAAGCTATTTAACTTAAGTCGAGAATTCAGAGTCAATTTCATGTCTTTTGTTATGTTTTCCATTTTTTTTCTCTCTCTCTTAATAAAAATAATTTTAAAAGGGTAGTTGAAGAAATTATTTGGTTTTGACTTCAGAATCATTATGGCATGTCCATGATATTCATGATATGTAGGCAACTTTCATTTAGGCCAAAATCAAAAGATTTTGGTATTAGTTGCATGAGGGTAGTAATTATTTTTAACATTTGTTGTGAATTCAGAGTCAATTTCATGTCTTTTGTTATGTTTTCCACTCTCTTAATAAAAATAATTTTAAAAGGGTAGTTGAAGAAATTATTTGGTTTTGACTTCAGAATCATTATGGCATGTCCATGATATTCATGATATGTAGGCTTTCTTGAATCATTGGTATGTAGCTTGACTCCTCTGACTCTTAACCCCAGCTTTTATATTTTGACATTTCTTTGATCCCCATTGAGTCAGACGCAAATTCTTCTGATTATTGATTAGTTTCATTTTTGGTCAGATAAAAAAAAACTATGAAAAGATTTTTTTTTTAACTTTTAGTAGTTTAATGATAGTAAACACTGATGAGCCAGAAATGAAGTGTAGGCAGGAAAAAGCAGGGGTTCTGGGGGCAGCTTGAGCCCCCTAGTGGGTCCAGGGCAAAGCCCTGGTGGGGGGTCATGAGGTGAAGCTGCCAGAATCTCATACGAGTTTTACCAATTTGAATTCAATATTCTTTTTCAATATTTGCATCCATGGCACAGGACTTTAATTCTGTATTAATACTGTAAATGATATATTTAAAATTCTGTGGTGAATAGTTGAGGATTTTTTGTAGTCTGGCTTTCAATGCAGTAGTACCTTCTGCCAATTGGGCCTCTGCCAAAGATAAGATTGAACATTGCAGGAGCTTATCAAACCAATTTTGTCTTCTGGTATCAACATTCTTGTTGATGAAAATTAATCTTCAACATTGATCTACTTTGGAACAAGTCTGATATTTAATGTTTAAAAGTATACATTTCATGATTTGTGAAACTCTCATATTAGAATTCAATGTTTTTGTCCTTATGTTGCTCATAGTTTAGCAAACTTCTTTGAGATCCATTCAAGGTCATGCAGAGCTTCTACATCACGGTATGTTGATATATTAGTCTAAATGGACATGATAGATCAGAGTGCATGGAGAAAATTTATTGCCAAAAAAAATTAGTGTTTCAGAAATAATATGATTTTTCTATTCCATTATTTAAATCACCAGTGTTTATCTAATCGTTTTAAAATTTAATATAATATTAAAATTGTTACCTTATCAGTAATTCTATTTCAAATTAATTGAATCATAATTTGCTTACAAATGAATAAGTGATAAGAATTATTTAAATGTACTTTATTGTACTTGAATATTTATTTTGGTTGATATCTTTTAAATTGATTTATGAAGGTTCCTGACAAATGTTTTGAAAAGAAACCATGAATGTACGTAATTAAGTTCACACCTAGGTTACACTACTAGCTAAAACATTTACATACTGCATGATCTGCAAAGACTCAGAGTAACAAGTTATATATCTTTGGCTATGTCATCTCACTCCCAATAACTCAAACATAGCAATTACAGTCAAACCTTAATATTTCAAACATGATGGGACCAAAATGAACTGATAGATACAATGTATTAGAGGACCCTATAGATATCGAGGGAGGTCAAAAGAAAATTTAGGGAATAAAAATAGTAGGTACTTCCATAGATCTCATTTTGAGGTAAATAAGATGTTTGTTGTTTTTAGCTCACCTGAGCCGAAGGCCGAATAGCTTTTTATTAGCGAATTTTTATAACGTTTTGAACATACATGCAAGCATTTAACAATGAATATATGTTTGTTTAGAATTTATAATTGCATGTTTTTAATGTAAAATATTCCTTCCACACTTTCTTCTGACTTCAGAAAATTTGATATTTGATTTTTTTGAAAAAAAAATTTATTCTTCTGTTCAAATTGGTTCATGAAATAGGCAAAACGGTGTAACTATAATTAATTGTCAAACTCCACCCCTCTTCCACCTTATGGTATGTCTGTAAAAAAGAAAAATAGCAAAATTTTACCTTAATTTTTTTCCCCTTAATTAAACTCTCCTGAACTGTATTTAAATATTAAGTACATTCACACAATTCCTTTTTTCCCCAATTCTTATAAGTGACATTGTACCTGTTTTATTTCAAGCTTAGTAGAAATATCTATTTATGATTTATTTGAAATACTGAAATATTCATATAACTGTAAAAGAAAAATTTATAGTAAGCATTTATGAATTAAGGAATTACATACAGCTGAATCTCAGTATCTTGGACATCAATAACTTGAAAACCATAGAAGTGTTGAAGTGAATTTAGGAATTCTTGCAACCATATTTTTATCTCAGAATCTCAATTAAATCAAGAGTTCTTAAAGTGTTTGCCTAATCAAGATAATGAGGTTTTTTTATTTATCTTTCATTAGGTTCTTGATTTCAATGACCATTCTTGTCACTATTTTTTAAGTAGACAAATTTTTAAACATATTTTCTATGTCTGATTCAAAAGAGGAAGTGTTTTTAAATTTTCAGAGAAAATGTAAAAATTAACTTAGGGTTTGAAAAGTTCACTTATCTAGTCTTTCAACAAACTGACTACATCTATAATCTTGAAAAAGACCTCTTGATTTAATTCTATGAATTCTTTGAATGATTCATTCAGGGATAAAAGGATTGAATTGATCTGTTTTTATAGTTTCCATTGCCTAATATTTTGCATGCACTAATAAAGGTTCCTTTGAGATCTATTAATAAATATTCCTTCAGAAATGTCTTTTTTATTTACAGATGTACATAAAAAGAAGTTTGATAGGACATAAAGTCTGATGCATTGTCCTCCTAATGAAGTTTCTCATAAGGTAAGATTGATCAACTATTCATGGTAAACAGTGGCAGATCCAGGAATTTTGAAGGGGGACCAGTTTGGGGTTTAGGTAGGGGCCGGCCCACAGCTACAACAAAAAATAAAATTGATTTTTAATTTTTTTATTTTGGATTTTGGACTCAAACTCAGGGGTGGGTGGGGTTTCCCCTTAAATCTTCTAGTGAAAAAACTATTGTATTAGTATACATGTATACACATGTACTTTTTTTTTTTTTATCAAAAATTAGTTAATAAAATTGAAAAAAGAGCCTTTTTATGTATTTTTTTTTATGTGAAAATCATAGATACTTATACTTAGTCCTGTTTAGTTAACAGTACTGTACGTGATTTGATAAGTGGTGCTTTTATCGGCACCATGCATTTACCTCATACTTAAAGCATTGGCAACCCTTCCTGTCTAAAACTATTTAGAATTCTCATCCTGAATTTTATATTAAGCCATATTTATTTTAAATTTAATTCATCAAGTTTATTTTGGGTGAATTTCCCTCCTTATTTTACATAGCAGGTAAAAACAATATAGTAGTTTAATATGTTTCTATATTCTGAATATTCCAGAATTATTGTGTTAAATAACATATTCTGGCTGAAAATTTACAATTTTATGTAAAAATCAATCATAATCGAGTTAGCATTAATCCTAAAACAAAAAGGTTCCTTTGTGTATTTTAGGTACATATAGCATGCAGAATATGCAAATAAAAGCAGAAAAACAAGATTCTGGATACCGTGTTGCTAGTGAGGTACAACCTTCACCAGGATTGCCCTCCCATAATGGAGGTCCCCCTTCCCACCCCTCACAATTAAACAATGGTTATAGACACATGCCCCCTCAGCTGTACTCAGCCTATGGCCAAGTTCCTGGCCAGTTTCCACCACCCCCAAATCTCCAGGGAGGACAGCCACCATATTTCCCACCGCCCACAACGGTATCAGTGGCACAAAGGAGTCAAGTCACAAATGGAGTAAGTGGTGAACAAGATGCAGAAAAATTAAAAGTATCAGAAAATCAAATAGACTTCTCTAGTGTTAAAGGGATTTTTGGATGGACTACAGTTGATGGGGTGAATGTGCCTTATATATTTAGAAAAGACAAACAATTTGTCTCGGTTCGTATTGTGGAACAAAAACTTCTCAGCAAGTATCCAAATTCGTATCCAGATGAACTGGGCAAACATCAACCATTGACAAGTTATTTCATTACAATACATGAAGCCAAACTATTGAATGAAATCAATAATGTGCACTGTGGTGGTGAATTCGGCCAAAAACAGTTTAATTCCAAAGATTTAATTGTGCTATTAGAGGACTTTGTGGATTTTTACAATCTTGTTAAAAAGACTTTTCCAGAGGGCAAGCAAAGTGAATCTAATGCTAATGGGTCTTTGGTCTCATCACCTTTGCAGTCCATGCAAGTGAATCTAAAGCCAACAGATGATAACAATGAACCTTGTGGGTGGATACAAGTGAACAATACTGTGACTCCCTATGTTAGAAGAGTTGAATATGGAAAGTTTGTCCCACTATCTGTCATGAAGTATGCAGCTGCTCTAAGTATTCCAGAAAAGGGTGTACTGCCCTCTGAGGAAGAATGTGAATTGTTGAACAAAGCTTGCAAACTGGCTGGCTTTAACTTTACTTTTTCCATGACAACAAGAATCATATGTTTGACAGACATATTGAAACACTGCAAAGTTCACATCATGGAACTTCCAATGGAAAATCCACTACAGCATGCACAGTATTTAGATCTCCCATCATCCACCTCGTGCACCTCCCCAGTCTCGGCAGGAAGTCCATCCACAGTGATATCATCCATGTCCGGACAGACGCAAGTGTCAACACAACCATCTCCACAAACAATGAGACCAGACATTTCTGAGATATCAGGAGTCTCCACTGATAAACAACTTACACCTGAACAAGCCACTCATTACCCACCTCCTGGTCCGTACATGGCACCAACCTATCCTTACATGGATCCCCGATATGTGTTTACCTATAACAGACATCCTATGTACCCAGTAAATTATGGTCCTCCTAATGTGACTGTTAATCAGCCTCATCCTAGCTTCCCACCTGGAAGTAGACCCCCATACCAAAATGGACATTTCCCAGTAGGACAACAAAGTAGTTCTTATCCATCTCAAGATCAGTTGAGACCATCTAATTCTCCAATCAGGAGCCCAAATGCTGGTGTTCCACCCTCCTCCTTAAATAATCGTGTGTCACCCACTGCTGGAAGGAGACCAAGGATTCCATTAAACAATGCAATGAATTCACCAAATATGTATCATCCCTCACAAATGAATGCTCGCATGCTTGCCCCAAACATGCAACAATACAATATGGGAAATCGACCAAGAGGAAGTGTTGGAAGACCACCCTACACCCCTCGTGGACCATCCTCTAATAGAATGCCAGATACCAGCAATATGCAAGGCTTTCCTTTTGTGCCAAACTATCCTTTGCCACAAATGGTACCTCCTAATCAGCAAGGCCAGGGATTAACCATGAGAGCCAAAACAGTGAATATTCCACCTCCTCCCAACATGTCTGGGCCCCACCAAGCACCTGGCCATCAGGGCCTTAGGATGCCTCTGCAGGTGAGTCAATGCAATACATTCTATATTTTAGGTTATCCATATGTAGATACATGAATCTCCTGTTTAATTTACTTGTACTAGTATTTAAAGAATAATGTAAAAGCATGTTTAAAGTTTCTGCAAATTTGAATTTCTACAAAATTTTTAGATAACACAAGCTAACAGTTTCTTATAAATTTGAGATGTATAGAAGCATGCTATTTTTCATAAACATGCTTTCAAAAAATAAAATGATTAGAATATACTGTAATACATGTACTATGTATTTATTCCAATAACTTTTCAAAAGAACAAAGACACATATGATTGACATTTGGCAGGAATCTCCATGCATTGAAAAAATAATATTTCATTGATCATGTTGATATGTCACATTAAATTTTAGCATTCTGTTGATGAATATGGTTCTTGTAAAAGAGGAAGGGGAAATATTTTCCCAATATTGTGTTTTGATTTGCTGATTCAGGGAATTACTTGAAAATTAGTTGAATCAGTTAGCGCAAAATGCTACATTTTAATTAAAAACACATTTTTAGGTCACCTGAGTAAACTCAGGTGACCTATTGCTATCCGTTTTCGTCCGTCGTCGTCCGTCGTGTGTTAACATTTGAACATTTTCAGCTTCTTCTCTGCAACCACTGAACCAATTTCAACCAAATTTGGCACAAAGCATCTATGGGTGAAGGGGAACAAAAATTGTGAATTTCATGATCCCTGCACCCCTGGGGCATGAGGGGTGGGGCCAAAACCATTAAAATTAATGCAATCTTTAAAAATCTTCTTCTTTACTCCTGGACATCAAGCAGTCAAACTATTTGCATGATTGTAATTAGCATTGAGTCCTCTACCAAAATTTTGAAATTCATGGCCATGGGGTCAGGGGTTCTAGTGCTTAAATAAGTATATAGTGAAAATGCATTATTTCTTTGAAAATCTTCTTCTCTGCTCCTGGGTATTAAATAAACCAACTAAGTACATAGTTATGATGAGCAAGAGTGCCTCTACCAAAATTGTGAATTTTATGGCCCCAGGGTCAGGGTTCTGGTGTTAGGGTGGGGCTCTATTGATTATATTGTAAAAATACATGATTTCTTTGAAAATCTTCTTCTCTGCCCCTGGGTATTAAATAAACCAAGTAAGTAAATAGTTATAATGAGCAAGAGTGCCTCTACCAGAATTGTGAATTTTATGGCCCCAGGGTCAAGGGTTCTGGTGCTAGGGTGGGGCTCTATAGATTATATAGTGAAATTACATGAAAAAATCTTCTTCTCTGCTCCTAGGTATTAAATAAACTAACTAAGTGCATAGTTATGATGAGCAAGAGTGCCTCTACAAAAAAAATGGCCCCAGCATCAATGGTTCTGGTGGGGGGGGGGGGCTTTATTGTTTATAAAGTGAAAATACATGAATTCTTTGAAAATCTTCTTCTCTGCTCCTAGGTATTAAATAAACTAACTAAGTACATAGTTATGATAAGCAAGTGTTCCTCAACCAATATTGTGAATTTTATGGCCCCAGGGTCAAGGGTTCTGGTGTGTGTGGGGGGGGGGGGGGCTCTATTGATTATATAGTAAAAATACATGATTTCTTTGTTCTTGCCCCTGGGTATTAAATAAACCAAGTAAGTAAATAGTTATGATGAGCAAGAGTGCCTCTACCAAAATTGTATTTTATGGCCCCAGGGTCAAGGGTTCTGGTGTTGGGGGGGGGGGCTCTATTGATTATATAGTGAAATTACATGAATTCTTTGAAAATCTTCTTCTCTGCTCCTAGGTATTAAATAAACTAACTTGCATAGTTATGATGAGCAAGAGTGCCTCTACAAAAATTGTGAATTTTATGGCCCAAGGGTCAAGGGTTCTGGTGTTGTCCTTTGATCATATTGAAAATACATGAATTCTTTGAAAATCTTCTTCTCTGCTCCTAGGTATTAAATAAACTAACTAAGTGCATAGTTATGATGAGCAAGAGTGCCTCTACAAAAATTGTGAATTTTATGGCCCCAGCATCAATGGTTCTGGTGGTGGGGGGGGGGGCTTTATTGATTATAAAGTGAAAATACATGAATTCTTTGAAAATCTTCTTCTCTGCCCCTAGGTATTAAATAAACTAAGTAAGTGCATAGTTATGATGAGCAAGAATTTTAAAATTATGAATTTCATTGCCCCAGGGTCTGGGGTTCTGGTGTTAGGGTGTATTGATTATATAGTGAATATACATTAAATCTTTGAAAATTTTCAAAAATGAACTACCTATATAGTTATGATGAGCAAGGGCCCTAATCTTGCAGAATTGTGAATTTCAAGGCCCCAGGACCAAAGGGGGGGGGGGCTCTACTTATATACTGAAAATGAATTAATTGTTTGAAATCTGGTCCTTTGGGCCAAGCTTAAAAAATTCTTTGTTTGCAGTTGCCGACCTATAATTTTTAGTTTAGGCCGGTAGGTAGGCATTCTTTTTTTTTTTTTTTTGGAAAAAAAATCAGATTTTTGTTAAATAACAATTAAAAGAGGTTTTTAAACATATACTAGACATGAATAAGCTCACCTTTTGTTATAAACTACTTAATGATAAAAAAACGTGTCAAAATTTGTAAACGGAACTGTTTCAATATTCTGAAAAATTGAAAAAAAAAATCAAATTACCAGATGGCTAAAAAAAAAGATTGGGTCGGTTGCATTTTCAGTAGGTCGGTAGGCAACTGCAAACAAACTTAATTTTATTTTAGGCCTTGTATTTATAAAACATTTATTTACTTTTTGATAGGCAATTTTAAGGGTGCCTTTTGAAAATTTGTGCAACCTAGGGTCAGGGGTTTATGTCAGAGTGTTAGGGGCACTACTGATTATTGATGAATATTAATGATCATTTTTTTTCCCCTACCCTGCGTATGGGTATTCAGTAACCAAGCTAAGCAACTGCTAAGTTTATTGTTATGATGATATGGTGCCCTTTCAAAATTGTGAATGCCATATAGCATCTGAAAATGAATCAAATTCAATAATGTTGGAAAGTTGTTGCATAATGCTCAGGTGACCTATAATGCCTTGTTGAAAAATTATCATGTGTTATATCCATGTATTATAATTCAAAGAATCAAGCAAACAAGCAAAAAATAAAAAATAAAAAAGGGGAGCAAGAGACCACAAAAAATTAATGCAGTGCTTTATTTGCATTTGTAATTCCTACATGTGCACATATTGCAATGATAGCTCATTAGTTTTGATTACCAGTGTAGTGCACTAGCTTGTAATGAAAGGTTTTTGGTTCAATTCTCGCTTAGGTCAAATATTTTTTTATGCAAACAATCAATACTTTTGTCCTTTAATTTTATGTAATGATTTACCGTATAAAAAACTAAATTGATTTATTTTGGTTCAGCTTTAATTTTGAAATTTTTTTTTTTAACTTCATGTATTGAGAATGAAAGAAATGTTTGTATGTATCAGTCCAGCTATGGATCACATGCCATAGATGGACATTTTCTTTTACATCGCATAGTTTGACCATTTTAAAATGTTTAAAGCTGAAGTATATGTTATATCCTAAAATAAGGCCAACAATGAAAAATGATTTCTTTGATGTACTCCGGCTGTCGAAAATTTTTATAGCACCAATTTTTTTAATTTAGTTTCCATAGAAATAGATATTGATTCATTTTAACATGTTTAAAGCTGAAGTATATAATTTCTCTAGGATGCTTTTTGATTGAAAATTTTTATAGCAATCCAATGTGACTGATGTGTAATGAAAACATTAATAAATTTCTGAGTCTGTGATTTTTTATCACTGTTTATGTCATATCAATTTGTTCAATACTATATTATGAAAAAAAAATTACAAAATTAAACCTGGGCCAACCTACCCACTTTGAAAAATGTGTGTCAGAGTACATCAAACAAAAATATTTTTAATGATGGCCCAATGTTTTTATCATATATAATTAATGTTAATGTGTAGTCTCCAAGTGTTTTTTAAACACATATACTAACACATAAAAATAGAGAATGATAAATATAGTTGTCAGTTAATGTCTGACATATATCAATCCTGTACATGTACATTTTATGAAGAGCAAACAAGATAAATTAGAAGGGAGCTTTCTGGTGATCTTAATATACTTTGATCTGTGACTCGACATCCATCAAATTTCAGTTTTGATCAGTTTCATGCCAGTCACCTTGCACAATCTAAATAATCTCAGTCCTGTGTACGTGTGTCTTGTGTAAACTTAAACATAATCTTATTGAACACAGTTATAACTATAGTGAGCTCTCCATGGCAGGCATCCAAATTTTAAGCTGTTTAAAAATCTCTTTATTCTTTCATATTCAAGCCTTTCAAAACCATAACTTTGATACTCAATACTGGAGACGGAAAGAAACCCATTAACAAAGGAATGTAATTTGGTCCGCCCTGTCGCCTAGTTCACTGAACACAATACTGGTGTATTAGGGCCTATGTTCGGGTTACCTGGGGGCGTTTTAAAAATAGATCAGGGTAGTAGTATGCAAATGATTACCACGAAAAACTGGAAAGTTTATTTCTGTGAATTCTCAGAACCCCCAATCTTTTATTTTAAAAAATGAAATACATATTGAATGTTTTCAAAAACAAATCCAAGTCTTTAATGATATACATAGCCATGTAATCATATAATGACATTTAATATACTGAGTATGAGATACAAAATACACATGTATTACCTTAGGCCATCTTTAAAACAATGTTTGTTTGCACTCAACTGACTCGGGAAGAAAAATTGGGTTTATCAGTTGGTGGAAAATTCTTTTTTATCTCAGAAAACTTCAACAGATATTTTGACAAAATGGAATAAAAAAGAATATGAATGTCTTAATCTCTGGAGGTTGAAAAATGTTTTGAGTCATACCATTTTTAACCAGTCAACCAGGAGAAGGGAAACAAACAAATTTTTAAAAATGGCCTTACAGAACACTGAAATACTTTATCATTTGTGACTGTGACTCTAAAGTTCAACTTAATCTGGATTACACTGAATTTTATTTTTATTTAAGGGTCTACCTAATGGTTCCCAAACAGCTCCACCCCCCTCTGGGAGAGAACAAGTTAACAGTGGCCCAAAAGTCAACGGAACAGCAGGAAACACTCCAGTGTCACCGCCACAAGAGAGAAATGTGACTCATAATGGTCAAAATCAAGCCAAAAATAAAACTTCACCACCTGCTTTGGTTGAAAGTATTAAAGGGGTTTGGCTTTCAGGCAAAAGCATTTCCTGTATGCATTTAGACAGGCCTGGTAGACAGGGCAAGTTCTGCCTTGTGGAGGCTGTGTGCAAACTGTATTTCAATGGTTGCAGTGTGAATGAATTTCTGTATGCTCTAGAGAATGTTCTAAAGGTTCCCTTAGTTACCTGCACAGATGAAGAGGAAAAATCATTTATTCACTACTACAGTTTACCTGTTTCTGTCCTTAAGTGCAACAAAATGATCAATTATGATGACTTAAATGAGTACTTTCCTCAACTTTCTTATGTGTTTCGAGAAAAAACAGGGTCAACTAGTGATAGTCAGAGCAACCAAACATCTACCTCAAACAAAAACCCATCCAAAGGTATCAATGAGGATTTATCAAGAAAGCGACCTTTAACTACAAATAGTGGGCCAGCGAGTAAGCAACCTTGTCGCAGACTGGAAGCAACTGTACAAAGACTAATGAGTCAACAGGAATCACAAACGGGAGGTAGGTTATTGAAATGTTAATTTGAATGTTTTTTTTAAAAATTGATCTATTTCCATGCTATGCTCAGGAAATTCAGCTTTCAAAGTGAGTAATTTCACTTTGCTCTATTAAGTTGAGCCATTTAAATTATTGCAAGTTTGCATGAATTTTTGTGTGTATGATTATTTTTTCCCCAAATTTTTTGTTTTAATTTTTTTTTTGGAATCAACATTAAGTCTTTCGAAAATTAAGTTTCGGGCCAAAAACTATGGAACAGCATCACCTGTTCTTGTTAAATTATAAATATATTGTTGAATCTGAAAATCAAACCATACTAGACAAAAAATCTTCTTAATTGCTATATATTTGGTGTATGTCTTTATCAGATGTTGTGGTGGGTTTAAGTGAACAATTGTCCATTTTAATTTACAGAGCATCCCAATTATCCTAAAATGAATGGGGAATCCTCAGGGGGAGCTGTTATTATTTTGGATTGAATTGATACCTCCATAAAGTATCATTCTTTTCAAACAGAGACCACCAAAAGTCAGGCATAAGAAATTCTCCCTGTATATGGAACTTTGAGGACCAAAAAGAGCATATTCAAAGTATGGACGTTGTGATGAGTCAAGAATCTGAGTTTAGGACAGTTTGGTGAATTGCCTTCCAAGCAAGAGACAAAGGATAATAATAAGTATTCCATGGTTATATAAATGGCAATACAGGATCAAAGGTTGTATGCATGTTGCTAGCAATATGTTTTTGTACATAGATCAAAACTACACACAGTGTCCAATAGTTGTGTATAATAAATGTATTGAATCTCTGTCAAGCAAAATAGAGAAGAGATGCCATGATTCTGTGTAGAAATGCTGTGCTTTTTCTGATAGAGAATTTTGATATGCATATTTAATGTTTTGTATATTTTGTCTCATTTGTGTTCATTATAATATTGGGCATTAGAATAGGACTGAGAACCAAAGAAGGACAACTCTTTCACAGAGCAATAATATTAATTTTGTAACTGTGTGTAAATCTTTTTATTTATTCATCTTAGCACACAAACAATATGAGTAAAACAGATGTTTGATTTTATTACTTAATTTTACTACTTAGAGAACATTCAGTAAGTATTAAAGAAATGCTGACGATCAAACTATATCAAAATAAGTTCTTTGATTTTTGATGCAGATACTTCTTTTTATTTTATTTTTTTTTAACTGTAAATATTTTGTTTCTTTGAATATGATTTTGTGTTAGTATATATATTGTTATGCCTATACTTTAGAACCTTGTTTGAAAGTGCCACTAATTTGGTATTATTTTGTAGTGCTGTAGAAAAAATACATTATTAACAGTTATTGTAGAATTTTACAAACTGCTGATTTTGTTTATGTGGAAATAGGAGGGGGTGTAAATTTATGATTTTTTTTACTTTCAATATTGATAGAAAACTTCTTACACAGAAGAAATGGGCATTCTTAAAATTGACAGCAATTCAGGGTACAATAATAAATTATTGTAGAAAATTCATAGTAACAGTCTTTCACATCATCAAAATACATGTATGTCTAATATTCTTCCTTTGTCTTTAATTTAAAAGGCAAATCAAATAATTTTGCCAAAAGACCAGCAATTTCTAATTTTACTTGTTAAATTTACTGTTTTTTGTTGATTTAGTCAACAAGACCCCATGTTTTTGTAAATGTTTCCGAGCATATGTCTTTTTTCCCAAGTACTTACAGAATAATATGTATTCAAAAATTTTATTTGTTTTAAATCAGTGATTTTACAGAGAAGTATTTCATCACAGTAGTTGTTTATATTTCATTGTTTACATAAGTAGCAGGAAATGGTTAGGAGATTTGTGCATCCCTATCAATCAAATTGACTTTTGCCAAATATAAAACATATACATTTTTAAGTATTTAATAGACACTGACATATTTGCTAAGTGGTACATGTAACAAAAATCTCCATGTTTATGATTAAAAAAAGAAATCATAAAAAGAATGTAAAATAAAGATATAAAATGACAGGTTTTTCATTGTTATTTAATTGTTACAGCGAAATATAATGCATACGAGTTTGATGTTTATGATGAGAACTAGAAATCTACAGATATATTCAGGTAGCCAAATGTATAGCTGCAGAACTGTTGCGTTATGGTTTTATATATTAGTCTGTAACCATAACGTTACAGATCAAGTAATGCAAAAAAAAAAAGCGCAATTTACGGCGCAAGATTTTTTGTGTACAATTTTCCCACTTTCCGGCACTGGTCAATCAGCTACCTTTCACTCCCTAATTCTAGACATATTCTGCAATTTTTATATTTTATCCAGCTCCCACCCTTTAAAGTCGTCTCTGCAAGTGATAAACTGGCTTGAAAAGAATTATTTGTTAGATTGCTGAAAATTCACCTCAAGCGAGTTTATCGCCCGTAGAGACAACTATAAAGGGTTGGAAGGTGGATAAAATTTACAGATTGATTACAGAATGTATCTAGAATTAAGAAGTGAAAGGTAGATGATTGACCAATGCTGAAAAGTGGAGAAATTGAACCCAAAAGTGCGCAAAAAATCTTGCACCGTAAATTGCACCTTTTTAGCATTACTGGATCTGTAGCGTTATGGTCAAAGACTAATATTTAAAACCATAAAGCCTACAGTTCTGCAGCTACCAAATTGTAAATACATGTACACGTAACCTAATTAAAAATGTTTTTGGAAAAGTTTTTGATTAATTTTATGAAGAACTAAAATCAGAAAGAGTTTGTTTGCATAGTATTTTATTACAAGTATTTAAAATGATCACAATTCTCTTTTCTGGGCATTACAATATACTTTGAAGTTAACGATACGAAAATTATTTCAGATGTAAAACCATTGAGGATTTTTAGTGCTGTAATGTGTTTACAATTCTCTCTCTCTCTCTCTCTCCCTCTCTCTCTCTCTCTCTCTCTCTCTCTCTCTCTCTCTCTCTCTCTCTCTCTCTCAATATGTAAGCAAATTTTTTTCAACTGTTTTAACCTGAACTGTTTTATCCATAGCATGTCTTTTTCCTCATATGCTTATATCATATCACGTTTTGTTAATAAAAACGTTGTTAGTAATATTGGATGGCATAAATATGACGGAAAATAAACCTACTCTTGTTATAGATTGATGTAAGTCAAGGTGAAGTTAGAAATAACTTGTGTAATCAACGTTAAAAATAATCGCTTCCCTTGCAAGAATCAACTGGTTATTAGAGAATAGAAAAGTCTGTCTGTCCGTCTGTCTGTAAACAATTCTGTCAAAATGCTACCCCTCCTACAGTGTTGGTTTGATTTCAATGGCGCATCCGTAAACTACACTAAGACACATTTTCTTTTGATTTCATGAACTGTGTTGCCGTGGTTACTAAAAGTAACCAAAAAATGACACTTCTTTGAAATACTTGCAAAACAATACTCCTTCTTTTGTCTGATTTCAATATAACTTAGCATACAAGTAGACTCTACAAGAAGACTTTACTTAGATACATAATTCTCTTGATCAATTTTTGATTTCGATGAACGCTGTTGCCTTGGTAACTTAGAATAGAATTTGCTATAAATTTCTTTTAAAAGGCCACTCTTATGCAGTTTTAGTCTGATTACTTTCAAAGAAGCTGATGTTACAAGGGCATCAAAAATAGTATTTTAAATTCAGCAATTTTTAAAATTCTATATTCGTAACAATGGTCTTCTTTGCTTGTTACTAGGTCTATAATGTTGACTGTTTTTTTTTTATAGATTGCAAAGTTAATATATTCATGCTAATTTGACTATGATTTAATTCTTTATCCGATCAGAAATGAGCTCACAGCAAATGTGACGGGTCGTAGGACATGCTTACTCCTCCATGACACCTTATCCCACCCCTCACTGGTTTCAGAGATGCGTAAAGATACGCTATTGAATAAAAAGGTAGCCTAGCCGCTACGTAGGGAGAGCTAAAATAACTATTTAATGGTAAGCACCAAATCCAAGATGTTACAACTTCATAAGACACTATATTTTAATAACACGGTGAATTTTTTCTATATCTAAGCGAATTACAAGTAAATTTTCACATATATTAGTTTTTAATTATATAATTTTATCCCAAATCTTAGACTTGGTAGCTAGGCTGGCTGTCCGTTTAATAGAAATAGAAATCTACATGTACTACATAGCTGCTAGGTTATAGTCGCTTTACAATCTTGATCACAGCCCTTTTTGTTATGTTCAAAACTTCAAATGGATCCTTTGAGCTTGAAGACTTCATTTTATTTCACATTTCATATATCGACACGGAAGGGGGATATAAATCAAAGTGCGATAAAGTTCATAAACACGATGTGATAGTTACAGATTGTATGAAACATCATATTTACAAGTATTATATTACAGTATACACTGATGTCAGAAGGCTTTTTGAAACTTTTAACGATGGCTTAAAATATGAGCCTAACTAGCTGTGAAATATATATAATTGTGTTTATTGCTTTATAATGAATAGTATTCTGTTTTTTTAAAAAAAATAGAGGATAAGCTACTTCACTCGTATTAAGAAGAAGCGAATGAAGTAGCTTTGCACTTCAAGCTTTAAAAAATTGTTCCTTAGTTGTATTGCCGCTTGTGTCAATTATCTAGTGCTCCGACGAAGTCTGTAACCTCATACCAAAAAGAAAAACACAACACGTAAATGAATTTGTAAGAACTTTCTCGTTTTGGAAATAAAATGTTCTAGAGTTGTCCTGAAAAGTCGTAGACATTGTTTATAACTTTGTAAACACTCCACCAAAACTTACAAAATAGAAATGGAAATACTCTAGTAGTAGAAAACAACGAGAAGCAATCACGTTCAAAAGTCTATTTAAACAATTCAAGAAAAGGTGCAGAGCAATCATGGACCTCTAAAATCATCAAAGGCGGGACCAGGCGCAATGGAAAAGTAAGCATCCCCTGCTGAGCTATTATAACCGCCGTGTTCTCCTTGTCTCCTTGGACAAACAGTCTATCAGTTTGTATAAAAACGTCAGTCAGCAATTAACGTTATGATAGATTGTAATTGCTATCGACCATATCATGCTGAATTTTGGCATCTTTGTTTCACCACCTTTTTTGTTAATCGCTTGTTTTGTATTAGGAATTTTGTGTACGTAGAACACGCGCTTGCGTATCGTCAATCGGGAGACATAAACCCCATATGCAGTGACAAAAGTATAATTATAAGTAAGGGGAATGGCAAATCACGTTAATCATGAAGTTTAAATGTTAGGTTACCAGTAAAAAATTATGACATTGTTTTCTAGTAAAACATGCAAATATGAAACAGATGTGTCAGAGTATGTGGTATCTTTTATTGCAAGGTCACTAGGATATATTGAGTCGATATATGCATGGATAAAAGTAAATTTGCTGGTTGATGATACGTTGTCGTCGATATACAGTGTATCTAAATGTCGAGTTGAAGGCCTCAACAACAGCAAATATGATTTCTTTTTCTACTCAAGTTTAAGATTTATATAAATTTACAAAAATAGGTCTGCTAATAACGGGCGCAATTGGTACTCAGGAAAATCCAACAGATTGTTCGAAGAACAGGTCTCTAAAAACTACGAAGATATTGTCAATCAGGTACTCAAGCATCTATTTCATATTAACTTCATTGTTTAGGTGTACAATCAAAACGTTTTTAACAAAATAATTTGCAGTTGACCAATGACAAGGTAAGTACATTTACATGTTCCATTTTATTGTCTATGATGTTAATGCAAAAGGTTGAAAAGTTGTACTTTTTAATGTAAATGATTTTGTATTTTTTAAAGGTCTTTAAAGTTTAGTATCTACATCTGATTACTCGAGTTCGCGAGTATAAATTTTTACAGTACTCTTGAAGTTTCTCCTTCACTGTTTTAATTTTTTAGTAGGGTGTGCGCCAGTACAGAAAGAGAGGCTTGTATACTAGAACTTCGCCTTATCTCTGTTTTAATAAAACGGCTGGATCAAAGTCGGAAATATGAAGTCATCACGTTGTGAGTTCTATGGCCGATCCAACGACCTCGTCAGTAAATACAATTTATCATTGAGTCAAATGCTGACTGACGTTTTTATACTAATTGTCAGTCCATTATTTACACACTGAATTGTCTACAGATTTTTACGCTGTTTCTCGATCATGAAAGGAACACACGGCGGGCGCGACCGGTGGGCAGGGGATGCTCACTCCTCCATGGCCTGATTCCAGCTATGATGGTTCCTTAAAAGGTTCTTGTTTCCTCTGTTCCCAAATTTGCATTATTTAAATGACTTCTTACCTTGAATACTGTTCCTTATTTCCATATATTTCATTGGCAAGAAATTAAGAAAATAGAACTTCTTTAACATTTTTCCTTTAAAAAAAATATGAACCTTTTCCGAATGAAATTGACGTCGAAGGTCTATTTTCTACAAATTTCTTGCATTGTGTTTATAGGTATCATCATCCTTTGTTATGGACTTCCTTAATAAAGATTAACGTTTCAAATCATTAAGTACACGACTGAGGGCGTGACTCTGGTTTCTAAATTTTATATTTATTTAAGGACCTGAGTCGGAAGGGAAATACTAGTATATACATTTTAATAAAGGGAGGGGCGGAATCTCGCTAAATCTCGAAGTGATATGATATTCTTTAAAGTAATATTGTTCGTAACTTTGCTGACAATGTTTGGATTAATAAAAGTGCTAAACATACAAGTGTTTTACTATTCTA